TTTGTAAGGTTTCTCTCTTCAGTAAATGTTGTTTATGGTCTTCATATCGTTTAGCTTGGACAAAATTCTCTTTTATAGGCATCAATCCATTTACTTTTCTTCCAAACATCAATTCTGAAAGTGACTTAATTTCATCTGAAATAGGAGAGTTACGATATTCCAGTAATACTAAATATGGATCCTTGTCAACTACAGCTTTTTCTAACATTCGCTTGACAGTTTGAATATGTCTTTCAACCATTCCATTAGACTGTGGGTATTTTGGACTTGAAGTTCTGGTTTCAAAATTCCATCTTCTTGCAAAATCTTTATATTTCCTGCAATTATATTGTGGACCATTATCGGAATATACTATTTTCGGAATACCATATCTTGCAAAAATTGATTTCAATTGCTTTATGACTGCTACACTTGAAAAATCTTCCAAATGTCCAATTTCAACATATTTGCTAAAATAATCTATAACTATTAGATGATCCCTTCATTGAAAGTAAAAGAGGTCTGTTCCCAATACTTCCCATGGACCATTAGGTATTTCTTTAGATATCATTGGTTCTTTAGTATTAGCATTTTGTAAACTTAAACATGTTTAACAATTCAGTACCAAATCTTCAATTTCTTTGGACATTCCTGGCCAATATAATATTTCTCTTGCTTTGATCTTGCATTTTACTACTCCTAAATGACCATAATGAATTCTGCTTAACATATCTTTTCGTAAACTTCTTGGTACAACAACACAGGAATTTTTAAATAATAATCCATTTGCTTCTGATAGTTCTTCTCTGAAGTTAAAATATGGTTTTGCCAGTTCTGGAACCATACGTTTTTCATCTGGCCATCCAGTTTTAATTAATTTTTTTAAAACTTGTAGTTCTTCATCTTTTCCTGTTTCCAGTTGAAAAACTTCCATTTTACCATTAGACATTGGTATACATTCTACAACTAATCCAACATGAGCTTCTATTTCTCCTTCAAAGAAATCAGATCCTTTATCAGTGAATGATCTTGATAATGCATCCGCTATATAAAGTTCTTTTCCTGGTTTATATTTTACCTTAAACTGATATGGCTGTAATCTTATACGCATTCTTTGTAGTCTTACAGGGCATTTATTTAATGGCTTTTTAAAAATTGATTCCAGTGGTTTATGATCACTTTCCACAGTAATATTTTTTCCAAATATATACTGGTGAAATTTCTCACACGCAAATACAATAGCTAAAGTTTCCTTTTCAATTTGAGCATAATTCTTCTGTGTATCTGTTAATGCCTTAGATGCATATGCCACTGGTAAATTATTCTGCAGTAAGACTGCTCCTAGTCCTTCTTGAGATGCATCTACAGATAAACTACTGGTATGTTTATATCATAATACTGTAAAACTGGTTTTATTTACCAAGACATCTTTTAGTCTTCTAAATGCTTTTTCATGTGTTGCATTCCCAGTTCCAGATAACTTGTTTTTTCAACAAATCTCTTAAACATGATGTCAATTCTGATACATTAGGTATAAATCTAGAAACATATGTAATCATTCCTAGGAATGTTTCTAATTCTTTCACATTTTTTTGGTGCTTTTTTTATATCTAGAATAGCCTTAATTTTGTCTTCATCTGGTTTTAAACCATCTTTAGAAAATATATGTCCCATATATTTCACTTCATTCAGCCCAAATTTACATTTATTTAAATTAAATTTAACATTCTTTTCTCTGGCTCTGTCCAACAATTTCTTTAATCTTGAATCATGTTCTTTTTTATCTTTACCCCAAACTAATAAGTCATCTATATATATTTGAACTCCTTCTAAATCACTAAAAATTTCAGAAAATCTTCTGTGGAAAAGTTCTGGTGATGAACTCAGTCCATATGGCAACCTTAAAAAACAATATCTACCAAACGGAGTGTTAAATGTAGTAAATTCACAACTTGAATCTGACAGTTAATTTGCCAAAATGCTTTGTTTGCATCTAAAATACTAAAGACCTTTGCATTTGTCATTTGAGATGAAATTTCTTCAAAGGTTGGTACGTGATAATGTTCTCTCAGTATATTTTGGTTAAGGTGCTGAGGATCTAAACACACTCTTAAATTTCCATCCATTTTCCTTAGTACCACTAATGAATTCACGAATTCTGTTGGTTGGTTAACTTTCTTTATAATACCATCTTTTTCCATTCTTGCTAATTCCTTTTTTCAATCGATTTAATAAGCTAAGTGGAATTTTCCTACAGGGTTCTATTTTACCAACAGCTCCTGGTTTTAATTTAATATGATATGTATATCCAGTTAAATTCCCAGTTCCTTTAAACAAATCTTGATATCCTTTTAAAAGTTCTGGTAACTTTTCATTAGAATCAGGATTTACTGTACAAATCCTTTGTATTAGGTTTAATTTTTGCAATTTAGGTTATAAATAGCTGAAACATAGGTTATAAATGTTCCCGCTATTTATAACCTAAATTGCAAAAATAAAATAAAATTCCAACAATGTTCCAGCTAAAATAGCTGGAACAGTTTTATCACATGCCTACAACTTGAAATTCTATTTCATCCATCCTTGTTTCCCCTTTCGATGTTTCACATAATAATTTACATTTTCCAACTACATCAATCGTAGTACCATTGTAATTATTTAAAGTGACTTTTGATTTAGTCAAACATTTTTCTATTTATCTTATTTAATTTTACAAATTAACAAAATTTAATTGTTTAAAATTTAGGCAATGGTAGCACATTACACTGAGCTCCAGTATCCAACTTAACAAATAAATATTTAGATACTCTTTACCTTTTAGTTTTTCAAACCATTCGGTTTTATTTTTAGAAAATGGATTTGTATCTTCTACTACTGACCCTAAAATATATCATTACCATTATTATGTAACTCATGCTCTAAATTATTCTGTACAACATTAACATTTTTAAAAGTGCACATTTTAGAAAAGTGATTTTTCTTTTTACAGTACAAGCAAATCTTATTATAAGCAGGGCAGTTGTATAACTTATGAAAAGTTCCACATTTTCTACATGGTTTTGGATTATTGTACTTATTTCCTTGATAGTTTGAAGAAGATTTAGTACTTTGTTGCTTTTGTTTTACATGAAAGTCTTTCTTACAAGGCTGACTTTTTTCCTCTGAAGGTCGAAATTTATTACGTTTGATAGCTTCTATTTTATTTTCTTCAGTTAAAGTTTTCAGCTGAAGTTCTTCTAATTCAGAACCTTTACACATTTTAATAAATTCTCCAATGTTAACTGATCTTCCCTTAATAATCTATCTTTGAGATTTTTATTTAGAATTTCACTTACTATTCTATCCCTTATTAAACTATCCTTTAATTCTGCAAATCCACAGTTGATACTTAATTTCTTTAAATCGGTTAAGAAATCATCAAACGATTCACCTACATGTTGTGTTCGACAGAAAAATATATGTCTATCAACACTTTCGTTTGCTTTCGGTATGCAAAAATTTTCGAAAGCTTCAATTACTTTGTCAACATCCTTCTTATCTTCTTCACTTAAATTAAAAGTATTAAATTTTTCAAGTGCTTCTTCACCAATTATATGCAATAAAATAGCTACTTTAATTTCATGTGATTTAGTAATACCGCCAGACGCTAACATATAAATTTGGAATTTTTGTTTCCATTTCTTCCAATTTTCGCTTAAATTTCCTTCGAAACTTAGATTACTTGGTGGCTTTAATCCATCCATATTTAATTTAGGACTTTAAATAGTTTATATATACGTATTTTTAGCCACTTCCAATAAAAATAAACAACTCACTTACCAGCGATATAAGTTTCGATTTCACAGTAAACAACTTCCCATGATGTTTTTGTTTAGAACATCTTTACCGAGGCTGCATGGTTCTTGAAAAAAGATTTTCTTTTTTAATCAACGACGGGCTGCGCCATGTGTTGTATTTTATACGTGTTGGTTACGTGCTCAGTGATGATTACAAGATGTACACAAACATCGTTTATTCTACAATACTCATCTACTATAGACAGACAGACAAAGATGTCTTGTTTTGCACCCGCTAAGTCTTTCTGCACCGATGGGCGAAAAATCAAGCATAGGTGCGAAGGAAAGGTATATAGAAAGGGGGCAATTTAGAGATTTAGAGGATAGTAAAAACGAACTTCGTATTGTTTTATACGAGTTCAAAAGGCCCGAAAGAAAAGTTGGGACAAAATAAATTAAAAAAATAAATGGCCCATAGTGAAATCGAGAGGAAAGAATTTATAAAGATATACATATATATATATATATATATATATATATATATATAAAAAAAGGGGCCAATAGAGGAAAAGGAAGAGAAGAAAAACCTAATTTGCTAATACGTATGAGTATGATGACGATGGAACTATGTGATGAGTGTAGGTAAGAAAATTAGGTAAATAATATTATTTTAAGATAGTTGTGTCCACAATCAGTGAGTATTTGCATCGAGGAGGCACTAAATATTTAACATATTTAAAAATTTACACGATATACAGGGAGAGGGAAGGAAAAAAAGAAAAACACAGGTGAAAACATAAGTACATTATGCAGTAATAGAGCATGTCGACTTGTGAAGTTTTATAAGTAGTTCAATTGTCACATTGTATTCTTTCATATATACTGTACAATAGAATATACGGTAGATTCCATCAGGTTGTACGTAGAGGAAGAAAAACAATTTATAAATAAATAAATAATTTTTTTAAGTATATAAACAAGTAAATACAGCATATAATCATGGTAAGGAGAACTTAACAACATAGAATAGTTATATCTAGTTGCGCATAGAAATTATATTATCATATAATAACTTCAGTAGGATTGAGGAATTACACGTTTGATAGAAATGCAAAAAGGGGGAAAAATTAATAAAAAGAGAAGAAAAATTTAGACTAATTTTATTCATAAATATAAGATGAAAGGGTAATTATTGAAAAAAAAAAAAATTAAAAAAAAAATGGGGGGGTAAGGTAAAAAGGAAAGTTGGAGGAGTGTCTCAAACCAATTTCCTTGTTTTGGTTCTTCTTGTGTCGCTTGGCGTCCCGATTTCGATGTCCTGATCGGCTCCCGAGAACTTGACGATGCCAAAGAACTATGACTTTCAGTACACTGGAATCTAGATATCAGTCTAGAATGGTTAGTGCATGGATTTTCAGAAATCTTTGGGACAGAGTCTAAATCCAAATGGATAAAAGGAATGGACGGAGGATTTTATTTAGTAGGGAAAGGGGGAGATAGAGTGGCCCCTTTCGGGTTATTAGAGAGAAGAGGAATATATAAGGTAAATAATTATAATAGAGGGAGAGAGACCGGGAAAGCTTGAGATATCCATAGAGTAAAGGGAAAGCGAAGGATGGTAAGGTCAGGAAAATTCAGATAATGTAGCATTAATTCATATATTCGTGCAAACTTGCCCATGTAAGGTGATTGATAAGATTTCTAAGAGTAAGGACAGATATATGTGAAAAAATGTATAGATAAGTGCGTCTTGAGGAGGAATATTTTGAGAGCAGGATTTGGAGATGGAGGTAATATGGAAGTAGAATGAGGGAGCAGAAGAGCCGGAGATGAATATGTGCATGACCTATTTCAGAATAGGAAGGTAGAGCAGGTGATGAGCTGGCGTGGTGAAGTGAAGATATAAATTAGAATAGGAAGAGAGACATAAATTTGGATACTTACTTATTTCGGAGGTTTGTCGGTGCTGGTTGTAGGGTGTTGGAGGTGGCTAGGAGAAGAGTTTCTCGGTTGAGGAACGTTTGTCGAGTAGTATTTTTGTCTCTTACAGAAGTAAGTGCTTTGGACTCTCGGTCTTGTAGTAATGCATAGTAGGGAGAGAAGGGGAAGAAGAAAGTTGAGTATAGTGGACAGATGTTAATGAAGGAGGAAAGCCAGCAGGCATGTAGAGCTCTAGAAGAGGTTGGTGAAGAAGTAGTGGTTGAGGGAGACAGAGGGCTGGAGGTAGAAGGGACAAAGAGGTGATTTAAAGCATATTTATGAAATTGCAGTCTTTGACGAAGTCTCCTAGGAGTTTGAGAATGGTAGAGGAAGTGGAGTAGAGTGCAGCAAGGATAGAGAGGGGATTCAGAAAGTGCAAGAAGATGAGTCTGTAGGGTGTTCCTGGGCGCGGAGTAGAGAGAGCAATAAAGTAGGAGGTGTTCGAGGGTGTCAGGGACCTTACAGAATAGGCAAAGGGGGGAGTCAATTTTATTAAATTTAAATAGTAATTCGCGGGTGAGGATAGCGCCTGTTCTCAGACGGCGCAGGGAAATGTCAACTTTTTTGGGGGATGAGAAAGTAGCTTATTGGAGAGAGTGATTGAAGAGAGGGGGCGCCAAGGGTTGGCAGAATGATTTTGTAGATAGGAGGTGAAGTCAGTATTGAGAGAGAGTATAAGAGATTTTTTGGTTTGGAGGGCGGAAGGTGGAAGAGAAATTGGAGTACCTGTGGGAAGTTTAGCGAGTCGATCCGCCTCTTCATTTCCAGCAAGGCCAATGTGGGAGGGGATCCATTGAAATTTAACTGATTTATTGAGCGAGATGCAAGTCTTATAAAGGGAGTAAATTTCTGATAGAAGCGTGTGAAGGGAAGTAGAAGAAGGGAGCTTTTGAAGGGCCAGTAGGCCAGATTTGCTATCGGTGAGAATAAAGCTATGGGGATGATTAGAAGAAGAGAACCATGAGAGTGCCTCACGTATGGCAAGGAGTTCCAGCTCCATAATGGTACATTTGTCTTGAAGGGTGAAGTTTTGTTGAATGCCCAATTTTGGGATAACATATGCTGCACCATTGTGGGTTGGTGTAAGGGAGCCATCAGTAAAAATGAAAATGGAATTAGGAGGAAGATTAGTAAGAGTGTCCAGGCAGAGAGACTGAATAGCTGATGAAGGAAGGGAGGATTTTGAGGGAAGGGAAGGTATATAGCATCGAGTGGGTGCTGGAGAGAAGTCCCAGGGGGCTGGGGAGTTGATAGGAGAGGCAGGGGGGTTGTAAGAAAGGAAAGATTTGGAGTTTTAATTTTGAGGAAATCCATTATATTGCCTGAACGCATAGGTGAAAGTAGCAGAGGAGCTAAGGGATGATTATTTGCTGAGATGCACACTCTGTGAAGAAGATGGAGGAGTTGGTGTTGGGCTTCAAGGAATATGGGTTTTAGTTGGGATTCGATGTACACCTCAGAGGAGGGGGTAAATCGGAGAAGTCCGAGAGCTCTCTTAATAGCCATTTTGTGGGCAATCTCCAGGGGTTTGAGCTTATTTGTGGATAGATTACATAGCACGGGGAGGCTGTAAATGGAGATAGAGCGGACAGTAGAGATATAAAGGAGGAGCTGCGAGTGTGGGTTAGGGCCGATAGAAGTGCCAGTACAGGATTTGAGAATGTTAGATGTAGACTACTCATCTACTATACAGTTATGGTTAAAGATAATAATGGATACAGTTACAGTTACATATATAACAGGGGAGGCGCTTACGCGTCGAAAAAATTGCTGTGTCAGTGGTCAGCTGACGGAGGGAGAAGTTTCATTTTCGCCAGCTATTCAGTTCGGTGTTTAAAGGCCAGATGATTGACACCTCTTAGGGGGTGTTAAAAACAAGTTTCAGTCCCTTTTAAGCTGCCATCACACTAACGCAACGATGCAATGATCAAGGAGATTAATGTACGGAGTGCGCTAGGCTAGGCCTTTAAATCCACATCATCAGAGATAAAATAATTACATCAAAAGAGGGGTTCATCTAATAAGGGAAAATTTTGAAGCCTACATTTTAAAAAATAAAATCTTTTCAGATAATGCCCTTCCGCATGAGAAAAAGGTGAAAACTCATAGAAGGTCTTTTTAATTAAATTTCGTGTCTAAAAAAGGCCAGAATTCAATTTTGATAGGGCAGTCATCATTCATAAAATTTTGAAAAGAATAATAAAAGGGGCAATACATTTCCTTAATTCTTGATATCAACAGTAAAATAAGATCCTTAGAACAAGCAGTCCGGATGGAAGGAGCTAGCGCGGGTTCAATGAACTCGCACCCACTCGGAGTAGCTGGTTAACTGGGCGGGGGGTGGACCCGTTAAGCAGGTTCTAGAAGCAGATCAGAGTATACAGCTGGTGGAGGGGAAGAAATTTTTGTCGCTATTTAGTGCGAAGTTTAAAGGCCAGATATGAGCGCCCCTTAGGGGGCTCATATCTCCTGCGAGCAACTCGTTTAGCGGGGGAAAATAAACTATTAAGAAATTGAATGCAGTCGTATGCGGCTGCGGAGATAAGTTGTCCCTTGTTAAAGAGACGTTAAAAGACTCTTCTTAAAGAGTTAAAGAACAGGACTCCTCCGGTCAATGCGCGGGGGCGGTTTGGGTTTAGGAACGTGAAGTAAGCATCCACATGGGCTTCTGTATTCCAATACCGGGGCTAAGTTGTCCAATGACACGGTATTCAAATTTTTAGTTAAAATACTGCATTAATTAGTAAGAAGTTAGTTCAAACAGGACAAAATTATAGATTGAATTAGTTTCAATATTTTTACTCTTTATATTTAATTATGAATAATATACAGTTCAGCATAACCAAGTGTTCAGAATACTTAACTGAATTCAAATCCGAATTCTATTTCAAAATCTTGTGAAATCAATTTGAAACTGTTGTTCAGAGGCCAATATTTAGAGTAAAGAAGCCATCGATTTAGGACAACACACTTTATTTACGCGAATAATGAATAAAAAGATCACACAGGAAATCATATTGACCATCACACAGCAAATAACATCTCACCATCTCCATACGCTCGAAGCTCGAATGACGGATGTGTCGGTAGAAGAGACAGCTGCGCCATCATAATTAATACGCATGCGCATAAGAAAAAAAAAAAAAGCGTTCGCTCGCCTCTACCCAACACACCCCTCCTGCGAGCAACATTTTTTCAATACAAAAATGAAATACAAACTATATATAACACATTACATTAAGAAATTAAGGAAATTATTTTCAATGTATACATTAATTTTTCTTCACTGACACTCTTAGTAAGAAAATCTGCAATCACATTATCAGTTTGTGAATATTCCAACTTAACCCATCAACGAGCCCGCCTCTCGGAACGAAATGCTTCGAAAACGGTCGCGTTGTCAGACAACAAACCCCTCCAAAAAAATCGCTTTCGTTTTCTGAAATCTCTCTAAGATGGCCCAGCCTAAGGCAGTATGTTTGCTTCCCCTTAGTGTGATGGATAAGCCATAAAATTGCCTCCCCGCTATTGAATGCCAAGAAGTAGTTGTTCCGTTTAGTTTCGTCTCCCTCCTCTTTCTTTGTACTAGTAGCCTGTAGACTTGTTTCTTTTAACATGTGACTGCCGAATTTTCCGAAATCTTTTTAGAATTTTAGCTTCCAAGCTTGTGAACATTCAATTATTCGACATGTTTTATTGGCAGTATTTTAAGAAAGATCATTATTTATTTTGTTACACAATTTTTTTACTATTTACTTATCTATTTTATTTAGTTTTAGTAAACCAATTTATTTTGGGAAATTAAATTTTAATCCATTCTTTTACCGACTCAGTTTTCATCACATTATAAGTCCATACATATTTACGATGAGAGTACAATATTTATCAGAAATTTTTGGAAAATTTCGCATATGCATTTATATTTTAGCGTTGAATTTTTTCCACAAGTTGTTCGTTTACTGTCGAGCTCATCTTCGTCTTTTCAGCGTGGAATTGGCAAGCATAATCTTCCTAATATTTTTCGGGATTTTATAGCAATTTCTAGAATTTTGGCGGTTTTCTACAAATATTTTGGTAAGTTTAGCTATTATACAGTTGCTACTAATGTAGAATTTAAAGCCAAAAATGTATTCCTTCGTTGATTTGAGAGATCGCATTTCGAATTTAAACGGAAGTTTAAATGAATTTGATACAATCTTACCACAGACTAGAAAGAATTATTTCTCTGTGTTGGATGGATTTTTTCTCACTTTTCTGCATTTGATACATTAAATGCATAAAGCAGACACTCACAAATAGAATTTAAATAAATTTATTTAAATAAATTTCTATTTTCATTTAAAATTTGTCATTATTAGCACCTCCCGCAGTTTTATGCAATCATAGGATTTTCCGAATTCTATTATGTCGTTAACATAATTTCAAGGCCTAATATGGAATAAAAGTGATAATATGGAAAGACTATGTCTTGAGTACCAATAGCCAAGTATTTGTAATTAAATAAAATAATATTGAATACCAGCCGCTTTTTTATTTATTTTTAGTCATATAACAAAAGATAAACAAGAATACTATTACATCTAAGAATTATTTAGTAAATTATTTTGCTAATGTTTTATGAATGAGGAAACACGGTAAAAAAATGTTTTAATGATTGAATTCACCGTTAAAAATCAAACAAACCCCAAAATTCCTTTTTCCCATAACTTCGTAAAATGTTTTGATTAAATATGATTTGAATGAGTTTTCCAATTCTGTTTTGAGTGATATAAATATTATTAAATTAGGATATAAATTACGAGGATTATTAGTAATAATTTTTGTATTATAACTTAGCAGAATATCGTTTATCGTTAAAAATTATATCTAAAAGAATTAAATTTTGAAAAAGAATAAAAAATATAATTAACTGTTCCATTTTCTCCTCTATGCATCTATTTATATAAAAAAGGAATCTGGCTAGGGAATTTACGACTTGTATATGAACTAAAAATTGGTATCTTGACAAAACTTGTCAGAGCATAAAAAGCTTATATTCTGTGATATTAGTGTATTAATCATACTTCTGTATCCGTAAATGCAGTTTATAATTACCAGCATAAGTATCATAATGGATTTTATTAAAACGACGAAAACTGAATGCATGATCCTAGCATTATCAAAGTACGGCTTTTTATCCCGTTAAGAATTGCTTGGTTCGTAACCAACACGAGTTTTATTTTTGAAATGTTATTCCAAATAAAACAGGAAGCGTTAAACTATATGCATTTTAAACAGTTTTTTACTTTTTTTTTGGAAGGGAACCTGACCTCCGCAGGCTAACTGACACTAAGGTCTCGAAAGACTATTTCTAGTCAATAGAGTTTTTTTCATTCTAGAAATACTCATTATCTAGAGCTATCTTTTTTTCTAGCCATTGTAAACTACAGATATAGTGGGAAAAAATTCTCATTTTACATAATTTTCGGATAATTACATTTTACGTTAAATAATTTTAGATTTTGATTAACGCAATCGATGAATATGGCAGAATAATAGTTTGTTGTAAACATTGTAAATTTCAACGTTTTTTAAGTAAAGTTTTCAAGTAAACCAAACCAAAGATTATTAAATTAGTCTTATAATGTTTACTGTTTGGTTTTCAGTGTTCTGAATTTGCATTTTAAAAAACATAATTTAAATAATCTTTCTTTACGCTAGTCGCTTTTAAAATGTTTACCTATGTAAACACTTACTAATGTTTAATGTAGCAACTTTGTATGTACTTAACGAAAGACTTAGAGGAATTTATAAAGAAAACTAGTTCACATGGAAAAAATCACGAAATCTTCCCTACAGCCAACGTATTGACCAGAAACCAAAACCAGGTCAAAATACTTATGATCATCTCTTTTATCCACATAGCCATTGGTAAACTTTTCAAACTTATACTTGTTCTTATTGCAGTTATAAACAGAAATGTGAACACTCAGATACTGCCGCTTGTTAAAGTTAGTACAGTCTGCGGCTGATTCTATATCTGCCGAGGTGTTTTCGAAAAAAACTTGAAAGATAATAAATTATGTTACCTGCTGAGTCATCGAAATATTATATATTTTTTTTATTGAAACTGAAAATTTTATAATTTTCTATAAAACTGCAATGGAATTATTGCATTGAGTAATCTTCAGTGTGATGTAATTAGTGTCCTAAATATAAAAGTATGCAAAAATCAAATTGGAAATTACAGCAAATCAGTCCCTAGAAATATGCTATGCCTGTATTAATCTAGTA